CAGCAGGTTTGTGAGGAATACCTTTCTGCAAAAATACTGTGGTCAGCGTAGTTCGAATTGGACTGACGGGCACAATATTTTGATGAAAAAATTACAACGACGTCGACAATCATAATAGGGCCAATTAATAATTTTAACACACTATCTAATCCAATAATAAAAAGTTTTTGAAATATCACATTCAATACTGTAATAAATCAGATTGTTATAAAGGTAAAAAATATTAAAAATTAAAATAGATTACTTGTTTTTTTTTTTGTCAAAACTAAAGCCAGTTTTCATTGAAATTGCTTTCGTGAAATTGGCTGTTGGTCTAGCCAAATTAGCATTGAGGTGCTAGATTATTTCAACGTCGATGAAAAAGTACCTACATATTCAACAGATAAAAATGTCCTATATAATATATAAAAGAGATGAAAACTATACCGGTTCTGAAAATATCAGCAGATTTGAATTATTTTTGCGGTTTGTTCGCTACAAACTGTCGATGATTTGAAACATAAAAAATTGGGGAGTTGCCACCTGTTTGAAAACTTCCAATAAATTTAATTTATAAAATATATGAAATAATTTAATATAGGCATCAAACGAATGAACCACGCTTTCTTAAGTTTCGAAAAGATTTTTGAGGAGGATTGTCACTTTTTTTTTAATTTTAATTCAGTTAAATTTCATTAAAATTTAGTTGATTTCCAAAATATTCTTGAAGAGGATTGGCATTGTTTGCTAAATTTAACTCAATTTAATTGATAAGATTAATTAAATATTAAAATTTTGGTATCAAACGAAAGATATTTAAGAAATCTTGGACCTACCCCTCTATTCTAACCGATCCACAAAACTTAGCTCATCACTTTATTGCAATTGCTAGAGATATACACAAAAACTTAAAAATTTATATTGTAGTGTAGCGGCATATTTGTTCCAGCAGCAAACTTTGAGGTGCAGTAGAAATTACAGCAGTGATGAGCTAAGGTTTGTGACCTTGTTGTTAGAATACGGCTATTAGAAACATTTTTCAATTTCGTTATCACCAATCAAAAGTGTTAAGACTAAAATGTGATACTTATTTAATTGAATTGAGCAAAATGTTACGATTTCCGACTGCTCTGAAAATTCTAGTTTTACCAAAATTTTGTGATTCGACAAATATCTAGTATAACTTTCATACTAGAAACAATCAAAAATGACCGAAGTTATCGGAATGATTTCGGATTTTTTTTACAAAAAAAAAGCCAACGATATATTCTACAACATCGTTTGCCATACCGTTTTCGTGTAGAATTTCATTATATAAAATTTGGTATTTTTTTCTTTCAATACGTTGACTTTGGTCGAAACTACGAATATTTTTTTAAGGGAGAAACCGATCGCTATTAATTTTTTGTTTCGAGGTAAGGAAACTAAAATTTCCTTAAAACCTTTCTCATCAACATTTCACAATAGAACAGATTTTTGCTTACCTCTCTAAACTCGGATAAATATCCAAGTTTGTGTGTTTGCATTGCATATTATATTCTCCAAAAAACCACCTTAGATGATAGAAAAGTTTAAGCTTAAAAGGTCGGCATAAAGATGTTGAAACATACTAACAATATAATAAATAAATAATGAGGTGTTTTAAGTTATTTTCAAATCGGTCCAGCTCACGTAGTATTTTAGGAAAAGTCTTAAAATATAATAAATTTTATAAATAATTCGATTACAAAACCGCCACTTTTATTGGTGAGGCACCCTAATGTATGTACAGATGTTGTTAGTTTGCTTGGAAAACTCTGGAATTTATGCTCCTTGGTTATCTATTTTCGCTTATAGTCCTTTTTCATTTATTTTTTACTTTTGCCATAATAGAAAGGCTTCCAGAAGGGATTTGTAGGATGTGCTGTTTGGCTACTCCAAATCTGCCTTTTTAGCCAAACTAAAATTTCGTATCAAATATATTTTTTGCAATTCAGAAGCCCTTATAGTAGGCAAGCATGGCCAGTGGTGCTAGACATGGGGATTTGACCCCATTTTGGGGATTACTGAAATAATTTTTGGGGATAGATTTTTTCGTTTGAGCACGTGGCGATTTTTGTTCGGTTTCATATTTAAATTAAAATACTGGCTGCCCTTAAAAATTTCTCAAACAAAGAACATACTTTTGAGCGATATTTTATGATGTGTTGTTGTTGTATATCGCCGTCAAAGCAATATTCGACGGAAGTGTCCGCTTTGATTGGCTTTCACTGAACAAACAATTGGCTCTCACTTCATTACACCAAATCGCAAAAGGACTGCTGTAATTGGCATTCACTGTACATATATGTATTTCAGATATCTTTGCGCCAACACCGTCGGTTCTTCTTTTAATGTTAAAATGGCAAGCGCACAAAAAAACAGGTAAATTAGACGAATTTACAGACAGCAGTGGGAATAGGAACCTAGGACCGAAGGTATGTTATTAAATAGTCTCCAAAAGCATAAAAGAAACAAAAACAGCTATCTACAAATAACCAAATGAACTCATACATATGTATGTGTACGTATGTACGTACAGTGTAGAATAAATAATAGACGTTTTATTTTAACTTTAATAAAAAAAATATTAAAGCTTGAATAAACAAAAGAATTATAGCCAAACCTGGTCAAAATAAAATACTATAATATTTCTTTCACCACTATATATGAATGTATATAAATTTGTGAAAATTTTTAATAGAAAGGTATTCAAAACTGTTACTAAAATGAACTAATACATATGGGAATACATATCTTTTTTTATATTTTTAAAGGAGGTTTAGAAAAAAGGTTTTTTTTTTTGTATAACTGCGGCCCGATATGGGGTATATGGGGTAAACCCAAAATCAGGTGATAGTTTTAGGTCTCAATAATAATAAGCGAAGGACTTTTTAGGAGTTAAGCTCAAATAAGGAAGATGTTCTTGATTGAACCCTTGCACACAATTTATTGTTTAATTAGGTTAAGTTCTTGAAAAGTATTCTTAGAAAATACTCATATAAAGGTTTTTTATATGAGGAATTCATTTTAGAAGTTTGTTTTTTATCAGCTCTGCGCTAGATGGCGCTGTTGCCAAATTTTATTGATTTTTTTTTTCAAAAATATATTTAAATTAATTAATTTATTTTATTTTGTTTTATTCTTTGCTTAACTATTTTTCCAAACTCTCCTTTTCTTTGCTTCTTATTTCGATTATGTTAGCCATAATTATTTTATTACTCTCGCTTGAGAGTGTAATTTTAATATTTGACAGCTTTAAAGGTTTTAGCCTCAAAATTGCTGGAACAACTATTTTGAAGAATAGTTTCCTTTTGTGGATTTTCGATAACAGCAATTTATCACTTTTAATTAAAAAATGGTTTATTGTGAAAGAAAATATCGAAATTATTCTTAGATATTTGTTGGTGGAGAATGGCTACAAACTTAAATGCAAAAAATAGCTTTGTAAATTTTTCACATGACAATGATTTTGAAAATCAACATAAAAAGCCAGAAAGAAGGAAAGTTTGAAGAAAAAGGAGGCAAAAGAAGAAAACAAAATAAAAAAATAAATTAATTTCTATTTAAAAAATATTAATTTCTGTTTAAAATATTAATTGCGGTGTCTCATATCACATCGCGAGTGAGTTTTTTTAAGAGGCGTCTAATTTTAGTATTTTTTTTAAGAAATAAGCTCAATGAAATTCAATAAAATTAGCCAACAGCGCCATTTAGCGCATATTTAATAAAAAGCGAACTTCAACAATGAAATTTCTCGCATCAAAAAAACATTATAAAAAAGTATTTGCATTTTGTTTAACTCAATACCGAGCCGAAAAATTTGATTTTGTCGCATAGTTTAATAAACGCTAAACAAAATATACTTTTCTTTTTGCATTTAGACAATTAAAAGTGTGCGCAGTAGTTACCGGCAAGAAGCTACATTTTGAAATGCACACCATTCCACAAAATTTTTCTAAATTAATCTACAAGATTTTATGTACTTATTTACACTTAAAACTTACTTCCTAACCTTATCACTTATAATTAAAAACGTGTAGTTATGTTATTGTTAACTTATTAAAACAATTTTTAATAGATTTTGGTTGTTAACTCAAAGAACTTTTCCACTGACGCAGCATGCGCATTAGAATAGTTTACATACATCTCTTTTATTTGTCTAATCCCCAGTATGCAACTTAAAATTATTTTTAACAAATGTATTTATTTGTATTCTAGTTGTTCGGTCTCAACGTAGAAGTTTCTTAACTAACCCGCTTTGCCGCTGCGACTTACTACAATAAAATGTCTGATGATTTCTTGCTTCACAAATCAATTCCATGCAGCGAAACTTACTTGCAGTAATTTAAAGTAATAGAAAATGAATTTTACGTAAAGAAAATACATATGTATATAAATAAACTCAAGCTTACAATAAGCTTACTCTGACAGTACATACATTATCCACTTAATTTATTGATTTTCAGATTTTCTTGTATGAACGTCAATGAGCATATAAAATCAGTGTAAACACCATCAATCAAGTAAAGAAGACAGGCGCGCGACGATAATAATTACATGACATATATATCTACGTAAATATGTACTAATAAACACAAGTAAATAAGTATGTGCCCTTTATAGTACGTCTGCATGTGTGTGTGTGTGTGTGTGTGTACATTCACTTTCATTGCCAGCCCAAAGTGAATTTTGGTGAGCGAGTAGTGATGGCCACCAGCACGCCAACACTCATCAATGCTCAATATTTGACATAACAAAGCGTACGCACAAAATCAGTCACGTCAAGGCTTTAAAGGCTGAAAAGGCTGCAGAAAATCTGTACTAAATACTTAGAGGTTGACTGGCAGGCACTGAGCGCTTTCCACGCACATAAATAATCCCCAGCTGTCGCTACTTCAGCAAAATTCTCAGCTCTGCTCGTGAAATTTAAGGGCTTAATTACAGACGCATGTCCAGCAATTATTGGTGGCTGTTGTTGCTGCTACGAACTTTTGTTGCCGTTTAGTTTCGAGAAATAAATGAAAAACGAGTGAAAAGAGAAAAAGTTGTGCTATTGCGAGTTTCTTTGTTGCTTTGTTCGTCACTTTCACTTCTCACTCACTTTCTGTCACTTTCCAAATTTTTGCTTCTTGAAAATATTTTTTACTGCCTCGTTTTGTATATGTATTTCTTTGTTTTTATTGCGCGCTCTCTTCTCGGCTTCTGTTTATTATCGGATTTATTTTAGCTTAAGAAATTTATTCATTTGCTTGTGTGCTGACATTAAATTTCTGTTCGTTTAATTCCATTTCCAAATAACCACTGCTCATTGACACTATGAATGGGCGTTGGGGGTTCCAGCTTTAGTCAGCATAATTTATCATTTCACTTGCCAGCGGAGCGTTGCTTTATCCTCTTTGTGCTTCCACGGATGTACATACATATATATGTTACTCATACGCAACGTCGCACCTCATTTCACGTCTCGCGTATTTCCCTTGCCATTTGGTTGCCACGCCGCAGTAGGGCTAGCGAATGCTGCTACTGACAGATAGCTTACAAGCCTGTGGTCGATGTGCGGGCGCATGATGTACGCCTAGGCGGCGGCAAATCCGTTGAGTAATTCCGATATCTCTCTTTGCAGTGGACAGCCTGTAAGAAGAATAGCAGCAGCAGGCAACAAAATAAGTAAGAATATTAAGTGAATGTTTTACATACATAAATACTTAGAATGAATATGCTATATTAAATGATTGTTATTTTGTTATTTTTGCTATTATTGTTGTTGCTAACTTTGCACGATTAACGAAATTTTACGGGTACATTTAAGGTTTTGTCTGCGTACTCGCCACTTCCGGCACCGTTATGTTTGATTAATGATGTGTCACGAGACGAGCAGTCAGCGCGCACTAACACATGCTATACAAGTTTATATACGTATATATGTTTACATAAAGACAAATAAATGTATATGTTGTGGAAAAAGCGGCAGCAAATAAAATTTACTTTAATTTGCTCACATATGTATGTATGTATATATCTAAGAATAATAAAAATAACCGATTTTTCAGAGTGGTATGCAAATAAATTCAATTCCATTTTGACTGGTCCCAAATCAGCCGAAATCTAATAATATACTTTACTTTAAATGGTTATTATTGAGATTGGCCAGGTTAGAGGCTTAGACATATACGTAAGCTGCCCATTGTGGTGCGCTGAAGAGGAGAAACAAAAAAGGGGGTGGGCAGAGCAGTAAAAGCTCTTAAAAGAAAAGGAACTTCCTCAAGCAATTGATATTCATTCCCGAAAGTTCATAGGGAGTGTGGAAAAAGTCCGACCCAAGGGGCTTGAACCTTAGGCTCCCAAAAGCAAAGACCCAGAGTAGCACACGCTCAGATAATTCCATACAGTTGGTGATAGTCCTCACCCTTACTGCATGCTTATCTATGAAGCAATGACCAGTTTGAACTCCCACCAATAGCGAGAGGTATAACTTGCTTGGTCACAAGAGCCTCCTGGACCGACTCCTGTCTACACGCTGAGTTAATACACATTCATCTGTGCCGTGGTTGACCACACGGGCTAAGGGGGTACCCAGATATTCTATACGCGGAGCACGTCCTCAGTACTTACCCGTTATGGGATTTCCAGTGATTTCGCTGTGACCTGGATACCGAAGGAGCTCAATAGCGTAGTAATCCGTTGCGGTCGATATGGAGGTCAAACAATCATTTACCGTTCTCGGACATACCATCCGGAAGCCACGAGGCTTGATGAAGGAATATATATTTACCTACTTGAAAAGTGTTAAACTAATGAGAGACCAATCCTTCTTTTGGAGTGATCCGGTAGTCTAATATCAGATTGATGGAAGACGACTCCACGTACCTCCCATTCAGATTTGCTTATTTACAGAACGCTGATTCCAGATACTGCACCCCTATGGTCCTCTCCCGATGAAATATGGCTAGTGAAGGATTCCTGCGAACCCAAAATCAGCGTGCCACTGCCGAGTAGGTAGTAACTCGAAGTTTTTTAGAATACTGGCTTGAGAACTTGAAGCCCACCCACTTAGTCTTACTGCGAGATGCGCAGTAGCAGACCTGCCTGTTACATCTATGGGTATAACGTTTGACTTAGCATTAAACGTCTGGGTAGGAATAGTTCGAAATGCCCCACTAATTTCAATTAAGAAAGCCCTTTGCATTTCTTTCAGCTGCTTGACGATGAAGGCCTTATATAGTGCGTTCCGTCAAACGAGCACCATGCAATAAAATTGGCATAGTTATAATTTCTTTAAGCCAATGAACTAAAATCGGCGAGAGGCCCCATAGAGCAATATAGGGCAATATAAGACTACTGCTGCCTTCTTGACTCTTTACTCTACGTTGGGTTTTCAAGGAAACTTTCCATCCAGGAACAAGCTCAAGTACTTCATCCTGTCAGAGATCCTTAGTGGATAGCCGCCCATCTTTACAGTTATCGATCTATGTACTCGTTATCAACATTTTCATAGATATACATAGCTGTCGTTATCGCTACCTCTATAGCTATGGTTATCTTAAGAGTTGCCATTATAATTATCCTCTGCATCTCATCTACATATCTGCATAAATATGTAAGTGTCCTTGATATCGATGATTCGTATTCAAATTCGTTTGCATTCATATTCGTACCCTTTGCACATTTGCGTTACCATTAAAATCTAGTATAGTCTTTTTGAAGTCGTATTTTGAAAAAAATAGGCAATAGCTCGAGTCAACTCCGAGAGGAAATAAGTATCTTGTTACCTCCAGGACCAGTGCCATTATTTGGCATTATCCTTAACAGTGTGGGGCCAACCAAATTTTCTATAGTGTAAATATTTGTTATTGTTCCTATTGAATGCGGTCTTCCGCCCATTTTGGCCGATTCGAATAATTAAATTTTGTGTTCAATTATCTACTTTATTGGGTTTTGTGGTTTGTTGACACCGTTTGTTAATATTTAAAGATTTAGCTGATTCAGCTGCCGAGTCATAAGTACTAAAACAAAACGAGAAAAATAACCACATTGGAAATGGGGAGAAAAGCGTTTTTGTTAGGAATTATAGCAGTATTGAACAGTTAACCAAATAGATAGTCATTGCAATTATAGGACTAATGTTTTGATCTTAACTCGCTTATGGAAGAGAGTTTTGGTCAACCGGTGAATAAATACGAGTGCGGTTTTTACCCATATACATACATAAATACATGCGTATGGACATACGTTAGGGTGTGCCTTATTTTTAAATTTTGACCCACAAGCCAAAAAAATGTACTTTGCAAAAACTTTTCAAAATAGCTTACAAAAAAAATGGCTCCTTTCAAGTAAGGCGCATACTAATGAATGTAAAATTTTTCAATGAAAAAAAGTTGTAAGATCAGGCTAGTTTGCCCTACTTAGTTACTCAGTAAGCCCGTTTTGGTACCAAATCTTTATACCTTCCCTGATAAATATATAAACCCATACGACGGTTTCACAAATTTGAGCAAACGCCTTTATTTTATCCCAGCTACATGCCCAGGCCACCCAAGGTTCCAGCATCTATGAAGCCCTTTACAGAATCAGGATCATCCTCATTTAGCAACTCCAGTAAAGGTCGTTACAAGGCAATGAATCTATGTGCTTGCCTCAATAAAGAAACGTGTCAGCAGACTCATGACCGATAAAATTTCATGCCTGTAGAGCTGCCTGACTGGCTGCGTAAATACTATAAGTACCCAAAAGCTTTCTTTTAAAGCGCAGTTAGTCAACGACGCAGCGTAAACCTAGGTTGACGTACGTAGCAGCATATAAAATTTACTGTTGATAGAGAGAGAGAGAGAGAGAGAGGAGAGAGAAGCAGCGGCAACGGCACCGCCATTCGGTGGTGAGTTTTCGTTAACACGCAAAACCCATAAGGTCGATCGTGTCTACATCAACCTACGTCTACGTTACGTCGTTGACTGTTTGCGCTTTTATATGCTTCAGGCCGACTTGAAACACTTGCAGTAGTCTGTTCCGAGTACACTCCTCCGAAATTGTTGTCCGTTAATGTGGAACCAGTTAGAGTCAGGTATTTCAATTGTTCTTTACTTTGGAAGGCAAGACCCATACAGAACTAGTCTGACTGCAGTGAATCACTCTCCTGCAGTGATAATGTCCGTAATTATATAGTAGCACCGTCTGCCCTTTTATTTCCCATCATATCTATGGCCAATATGTCTAGTAACATGTTCGTAGCATACAAAGCTTCTTCGAGGTGTTTGGAGTCGAGCTTCGCTGGCTATCTCTAAGATTTATATTTCAAAATATTTGCTAGGTTGAATATAGCGCTGTTAGGAGAATGATTCCTCTCGAAAAAATCTTCCCATTCCGGATCGCTCCTTCTACATCGTCTGAGACCAGGGTGGCATTTAGAAACTCAAAGGAATTTTTGCCGATATCCAACCACTATAACACAGTCAATCAGCGAACTTTTGCGGGTGAATGTGCACCAAAGAAGCCTAAGTTAGGTATTTATAGGTATTTAGGAAAGGAAAGTAATCACCGCCGAATATTATTGTGAGCTTTTAGACAGATTAGATATCGATTTGATTTGGCGATTTGTGGGTATCTTTTGTTTGTGAAAGATTCCACAAGTGAGCTTAAAGCAGTTAAATGATTTTTATAGCAAATTTACGTAATCACTACGTCAGAAAACAATCATGTCGTTGATGAATAAATTTCCATTGTGGCGACTGTTGTGTGGCGGATCTATTTTAAATCAACTATAAACACTTTGACTTGACCGGCCGGATTGGGCATCCTTCCGCACATGAGGCCCCGCATCCGAGTATTAGAAATGTTTGGTCGTTACAACCGTGCAAGTTTATCTCTATCAGAATTTTAAAATTTATTTGACCAGATTTTTAATTTCTTTCAGAGACCGATACCAAACAAAAGAATTCAAAAAAAAATAATAATAAATAAAAATGTGCAGAAGGTCTATTAATATTGAATGTCACTTGGAAAAAAAACACTAACTGAACAAGCGACACTCTTAGAAAATTGACAAGAGCACTAAAATGGCAATTAAAAGGCACAAAAGTTGGCTGACAGCAGGACATTTCAACATCAATTAGCAACCACGCGACCAATAACACCTCCCCGCTCGCAGCTTCCCTGTCTCGGCGAAGCAGGCAGGCGACACTCACTGACCTTAATGGCCAATGACGTGGCATTCTTGTCAGCCATGTGAGTGGCAGACGATTCATTTTGTCACTACGATGGTGTAACTAAATTTGTAATACCGCCGACAGTCAAATTCATTCAATTGTGGAATGGGGGAAAAATGTTAGAACTTGTGGAAATAAATTTTAGGTGGTGAAGAGACTGAAATATGGCAAAATGTTTGTCTACATGGCTGCAGCATGTGTGAGTGGTATCGGACATCGAGGAAGCGCTGAAAGTAAAGGTAGTAAAAAAAAAAAAGAAGACATTAAAAATGCCACTCTTCGCAGTCGAAATTCGATAATAATTAAAAGTAATTAATTTCCTTTTAATGACTTGACAAACAAATTAATTACGACAAGCAAACTTTTGTGGGGGAGGCTGTAGCACTGATGGGTATGAAGTAAGTTTGTGTACTGAAATGCATAGAAAAAAGA